ATAAGCTATCAGAAGCAACCTAGCATAAAATATAAGAATACTGGGGGATACTCTTTCATTGCAGTGTATACGAATTTGACAATCCGGTATAATCAACTGCTTTACATGTTTGCTGATTAACAACACACCATGTAAATATTAGCATTATAGGTTCCAAAGATAAATAAATCTGAACTACATTAGCATAATATTTAGTGATATTAGCCGTGTGTTATCTCAGAACATAAAATTAAAAAGGTTTAGAAAAATCTTCTCAGAAAGAAGTATTCCAAACGTAAGTAACACCTCCTAAATGAGCAGTTTTTTAAAGAATATTTGATGTTTGGGTTTTCTTAAACAGTTTGTCAGAAACTAATTTTGCTTGGGGTCATCAAGATCATCATGCTAAGCCAACAATCACAATTACTCTTTTAATACAGGTTTCCAAAGGTTCATATTGAATTAAAAGCCATAAAAAATATGAGTACCTTTTCCTCATTTTTTGTGATGCAAACAACATCTGCTTGGACTGTTGGTTCTCCCTTCCCATCATACACTTCTTTTCCCAAGAGTCTGTAAATCATTGATGGTGTTGAAAATCTAGAAAAGTAGTTTGCCTAAACAGAGAAAAATGTAATTTGTCATTATTCACTTGTTCAGACAAAAATGAAGAAAAGCAGAAATGATTTAATTAATCGATCAGTCTTAAATCTTTTCTTTCAAAAGGTTCCTTCTAAGCACCTACAGTATTTTATTCTAGGCTATATTACAGGCTTTTATTCTGTAAGCAGATTTCTTACTCCAATTATAAGATTTAATATTGGGAACATTTCTATCACATAGCTCATTTTAAAAATGTATTGCGTACTGAAGTTTACCTTTCTCTGATTCGCTGACGTCTAGCTACAATGAGAATATATTTAAAAGCAATACGGACAAAAATAAACGTTTTCACCGGAGTATGGATCACAGTGCAGTTCTCTTTACACAGATACGCTAACTCCTGCCTTACACAGTGTCATCTTGATAACCATCTCCTCTGTACAAAAATGCCACTATAAAACACGCAGATTGAGTTGAAGATTCCTCATTACCACATTGTACTTTTATGTAAAATATAATTCTGCTGCTATTTGCATGTTTCAAGTCGGTAAACATTTTATGAATAATCAAAAGTTTAAAGAGGTTTTTTCTTATTTGGTCCCGCGCTCGTATTAACAACAATACAAAGTACTGAAGAACAATAATATTTATTTAAAAGGCAAAAGAAAACTAGTTTTGTCTACGCGTACCAAATATCCGTACACATCATCTGGTTTTTCGTAAAACATTAAGTTGAGAACATCCTCCATTTTCTGTGGAACTCCATTGGCTCTGTAGTATTCTGCAGCTCTATTTTTTAACTCGTAAAATTCACGATCTTCTTTAGAAAGCTGACTGCCTTTATTGAGAAAGCATTTGTAAGACATGACTTGTTTTGGGAAGGAATGAACGGTTTATGTTATCTGCAAATTTCTGAAGTGATACAATGTGTCTGTGCCTGCTACAGCGTCTAAGGGTTGCCTGGGCAACACAAAACCACAAAGGCATCGCGAGAGTTTGACGAAGTACTAGCAGAGGGGTGAGCAAGTATTTTGATTAATCGTATTCATTTTTCTGACTCACCTTTTAGAAAACACTATGACATTCACAATACCGTTTCACTTACATCAGTTTTGCACACTTGTAGTGTTTACTTATTCGCACTGGGACTGTACTCGAGTGGTAAATTCAACCGTTCAAATGATCTGGATAAAGGGTAATGAAACTTTGTGGCAACTTCCCTTTTTGTACAGAATATACTGAGTTTGCGGAAAATTTTATCTCCGTATATTTTTTTTCTTTTAATGACAAGTTTATTTTTTGAATGTTTACTTTCCACTTATGTCATATGGCAAAGAAAATATAGAAAATCTGCAGTTGCTCTACCACTTTTAAAACTTGTTTCTTCACTGTTTCATTCTTTTTATAACACAGTACGCCATAGATATTAGTATTGTACCTTATTATAGTACTTGAGGTGCTTAAGCATTTGGAGTGTTGTACTTGTAAAGTAGCCTAGTTATACTATATTATTTTCCCACTTCAGGGCTAGTTGCCATGGTAATTTTAATTTCTAAATACTCCCCCACAACCTTCACAGTTGCCTCTAAATATATTCATATACTCAATGAACTAAATATTGATTTAGAATGAAAATCCTAGAATAGATTCAACATATCTTCCTTTGTAATCAAAACTAAAGACTAAAATACTGCTGTGAGTTGTGATACTGTATTGTATGAGTATAGAGAACATGTCAAAAACAGTTACTTAATATTTTTAAACACACTACATTCAAATTTATTCATGCCCCAGCAATCAGTATTTTACACCCTACTTTGGGTAAATTGCTCCAGATTGCATGACCTGTGCTTTGATCTGCTTTCTTCAGATCATGTGGTAAATGTTCTACTGCAAATGTTATGGCCCATAAAGAACACAGTTGTTTATTCTCTCTTGCCCTTTGGCCATTGTATGTGATGTATACTGGACATATTTATTATCATTAAAAGTCCATTGGCAACCAAGCATGACAAAAGCACCAGTTGCACCAGTTTTTGATTTAAATATCCCAAGAAACCTTGTAATCCAAATGTTCCTCAATTCTAACCAGGACATCAGGACCAGAGTATGCAAACCAGCCCTAAAGCAGAAATGATCCACTATTCTTCACAGAAGGAATCTTTTTCAAAATCTTTCTTCATGAATTATACTCCTGATCAGGCTGTCAAAAAAACCCATATTATGCTTCATCCAACCATATCACGATGTCCCAATTGGTTTGAAAGTCAAGTTAGTTGCTGCTTGGCAAATCTATATGTTTTGTTTTTATGTTGCCATGGAAATCCAGAACAAACTCCCAAAGCCAAGGCATTAACTTCAAATAGCAGTTTTAAAGGCATTGTGTCCTGATGATGCTCTTTTTTTTGTGTGGAAATGCCTAATTGTTTCTCTTGAAGGTAAACTGTATTCCCAAACCATTTATCTGACCCTCCATTTGTGTAAAGGCCTCTTACATCCTCTTCCTGGTGGAGTAGAAATCATCACACCAGCCTTGAACGTTTTAAGGATGGACTCACTTGGATGCTATTTGGATTTTGTTACATACCACTAGGGTTTATGAAGGTTATAATAATTTAACTTAGATCTTATGATAATTATATCACTTTTACTATGGTGCTGTGATATTGAATGTTATTCTCTTTTTAGTCCCCTTAAATTCCCATGGGAAATGTAGCTAGCTTCTCAAAGCTTTTACAAACTTTTTGTGGCTTTCTGAAATACTAGCTGATTAAAATCATAAAAGAATTACATTTACAGCACTTATTTTCAAGAATTATAGAGTGTGAATACATTTAAACTTTGTTTATGTAGAAATATTTTTACAGCTATGGAATTGATAATAATACTTAATACTTCTTTTCATCTATTTTAATATTCCTTTTATTCAAGTATGTTGAATACATACTTACACCTGCATCTTTTGCTGAATTCATTTTGATTTACAATTCATTAACAGTATGAATAGATGTGGAGGCTACTGTAAATTTCCTAGTGTATTGCTGGGTTTAAATATACATTAATCAATGCTCTAAAGAGTTGCCATAGCAATTTTAATATGACACATCACTCTCCTGTAGATCATGCAGTAAAAGCCACTTTCCAGAAGGGAAGAATTAACTATTCATGGGACTGCAGATGGTCACATTACACACAATCAGAGGTCAATATTTCTTAAGTGGTGAAACTAAGGTAACCCAAAGTTTGCAAGAGGATCTGTAGCTGTCTTGGCAACTCAAACAAAACTGCCACATCACTGCTTGATCGTTACTGTTGGCATTTATTTACACAAAGTGTTGTGGGTGTCTGGAATTAATTATCAAAGTGCATTGCTTAAACAGGCCTCCTGTGATCCTTCAAGAAAAGGCTCAATAAGATCCTCAGACCAATAAGCTTCTAGCAGTCAAACATGCAAGATGTATTAAATTTGAGTCGGTAGCTACAGGTATGTCAGCATGCGTAGGCTACAAAAGAACAAAGAAAGGTTTATTCCATGCTGAAAGAAAAAGAGACACAATGCTACAGCTGTAAAGCCTTCTCCAGGTGTGGCACATGATGAAGGCTTCACAGCCTAAATGTTGTGTCTCTTTTCTTTTCCTTTCAGCACGGAATAAAACTTTACCTGTTCCTCTTCAGCTGTTTTAAATGTTGTGTCTTAGAACTAAGTCCTGCTGTTTCTACCTTTTAGTGTGCTAAGAGAGGATTGATCTGGTAAGCTCATGACATGGAGGCCATGTCACTATATTTACTCAATGTCCATTCAGGTGAACGCCTGCCGGTGAGTACAAATTAGATATAAGCAAAAGAAAAAGTGCCTGTTTCAGTTATGCAATAATAAAAAGCTTTTACTTTTGTATGGTCTACCAGCTTTGCTATTTTGAATAATATTTAATCGTTTTTTCAGCATTGCTTCTGATTTAGTGAGATATCTTTAGATCCAAAAGTAACCATAGATCTGTGTATTGTCGAGCATGAAAGGACAACAGTACATATAGAAATTCAGTATTTGCACTAGACAGTGATGAAAAGTGTAAGCCAACTGCAGGGGAGCATTGATCTGTTTCTAAAAAATTGATCTTGTTTTCTACTCATTTAATAGCAGCCTCGTCTTTCTAAACAAAAGCACACTTGGCTAATATTGAATTGCGCTTTTTCTTTGAGCACTAGCAGGGAGTTACAGTATGAAACAAATTGACTCAAGTATGAGCTGCTGCACTAGCCTCAGGGTGGTAATAATCAGGAGAACTGAACCTATCTGCATTAAGAATGCATTTAACATTCAAAATGAGTCACTGTCACATGAAATGCATTTGAAATACTCAATACGAAAACAATCTACCAGAGAATCAGAATGTGGCCCCCAGTCAGTGTCTTTCAAAGCAGAGAAGGAGGCCATTACAAAATACAGCAGAGTGCAACATCCAAGATAAAGTGGCCACTTTGGTCATCTACTTCCTGGATGACCCTACACTGAAGTGAAAATACATACATACTGTATATTATGTTGGCATCTTCAATTGAACACATTAGATGTATACATTACATAAACAGGTTCAGCTCCTGGTGTTGTGAGATGGTGAGAACTATTATATAGTAAATACTGCATATTGAATGACTTCCAAGACCATTGTACAGACGTACTAGAGAGATACCAACCAGTTTTGCAACCTTACATTCAAAAATGTTTTGACTTAAGAGTTTAACGTTTCGGCGTTCGTGGCCTGAGCTTATTTAACATTGATGTTATTTAATAACCAGCAGAACTGATTAAGATTAAGATTTTGGGATACTAAAGAAAGATTGTCATTTTAATCCATGAAGGGGATTAGCTATGTGAAGATCAATTTAGACAATCCATGGTTGGCATGATTGCAGACTAAGTAGTTCATGGTCCTTGATGTGTGAATACAAATAAGGCACAAATAAAAAAACTGGAATTTTTCCAGTTCAAGTGCAGTATCACACATACTGTCCTACGACTTAGTGTGTGCATTAACAAATAGTGTTGCAGACGGATCATGAGAATATCATTCATCTATGATATCACAGTAGTACTGTAAAACTGTACCACTGTACCCTCTCATTTATGTGATGACTTTCTGCCAGCCTTTACAAAAGCTACAGTATGCAATCGACTGGATTTATCGACACAATAAAGAACGGTATCATACTGTGCAGCACCACCTTCTTTGGCTGCATTTACAAGGACAGCCACTACAAGGACAGCCACTATAAGTTCAAAGGCAGAAAGCTGTTTTCTCTGAACAAGCACATGTCTGTATGGACAGGGTCAATGTTTGTGAATATGGAGGCAGACAAAGCACAATAGGACAATGGCTCTCAGATCTGCTCATAATGGTCTGTTGTGATATCTGTCGACTAATGTGCTAATTAGTGCCTGCTTGACTGTTCAGACTTCTGCTTTCAACCCTTAATTTTAAAAATACCCTATCTTAAAGTATAGGTGGGACAGCTATATGAATGAAGCTGAAGAGGTCTGAAAATCCCTATTTACTATTAGGTTAATACTAGTGAATACTATTCAACTATTTAAGAACTGAAAGAAAATATAAAAATAGGTCTCATATATAAAATATAAATCAGTTAGCGTATGATTAAGAGCTCAGTTGTAATAAATAGTGGTTTGACAGAACCAGGTTTGAGAACCACAGCAGTAGGACATGCTAAATGTTGTAGAAAGTCATTGTTTTGGGGAACTTTCCATTATATTGTGGGTGCTTTCCATCTAGGATCATAAGTGCAATCAATTGTTTTTGAAAACTCTGGGCTGCCAATAACTATATCCAAAATTGTCAAGAAGCATTGAATATCATCGCTATTATTTATTCTTTCTTTCATCTTTGGCACACATGCTACAGTAATTGCAACAAAGCATGTACTGTGGCATAAAAGCACTGGTGAATCATTTACATGAGAACTTGGCAAAAGACTCGAGTTTTAAATGAGAAATTAAGATCTTTAAGATCTTTTATTCACTTTCAAATGAGCTGTGTGTTACATTTGGAACTGGCTTTATATTAAATTATTAAATTACCAACCAAAAGATAATTAGATTGGCAAAACTGAAGATTAAAAAAACAGACTATAAGTAGGCAGAGGTACTTCAGGTAAAATAGATTTTACCAACTGTTCTGGGATCTGGACATTATGGAATGAAATATTTTTACAACTGTCCATAGACTAATAAGTACCTTTACTTGTCAGGGTCCCAGAATGAAGTGATTTGAATACATAATTTAATAGTTTTCAAAATCTTGTTACAATTCTGGATTTAGTATGGAAACACACTATTCTTCTAAAAGACCAAAACATCTTGTGACCTTGACATAAATGTCCATTCAGTGATCAAGTAAAAACTCAAGATACAAAGCAATAATCTCTTTATTTTTTAAACTCCTCATAACTACACTTCATGTGTACAGATCAAAATTCCAGTTTTGCTGGTTGTTTTCTTTACTAGTACAGTTTGCATTTTCTAAACTACTGTATAATTGCAACACGTGTGTTCCATCTGTACTACTGGTCAGAAGGTCACTTCATATCATTTGTTTTGGCCCTTTGAGGAAGAGCAAGTGTGTTTTGAAATGGCAGTTACGGTACATATTTACATTTAAAAATCTGCCTTCAGGAATGCAAAGTATTGGAAAAATATCAAATCATATTAAATCATTTAGGATTAAGCAAATTAATATTATATTGATAGGTGCATATGAAACCTTGTAATTCTGTTATTGGAGAAAACTTAATTAACATTTTAAATGTCCACAATGGAGAAACTATTTCAGATTAATATGTCATCTGAAATATACCACTTTCCAAAGCACTCTGCTAATTTACATCAAAGCAGAGCAGTAAGTCAGAAAACATTAAACTTGCCATTTCACCTACTCTTCCACTAACACCAGTTCCAGACGTGCCCCACACCCAGGCACACTCACACCCTGGCTCAGTCTTGCTTAACTTCTCTTTCCCAGTGAAACCAGGCTTTAGCATGCTGTACACGCTGGAACTGCAATGATTGTACAGTAAAGGGAAATACAATAATCAGTCAGATTTATATGTTGCAGTTAAAGGAGCTGGCTAATTCAGATCTTGAGTTCTCCTCCAAGCCTGCTAAAGTAGTGTTGACTATAAATAAAGATGAAAAAACTAAAACTTTGATTGTCAGCAGTCTCTAACCAGTTGGTTATAAAAAGGGAAAGAACAATCAGTGTTTCTATTTTTTTTAAAGACACTGAAATTAAAAATGTCAATAGGCAATATGCATGATGAATCTATCTTCCAGTCTGAAGTAAGACTATTGCTATCCATTCCTTGATTCTAGAAATGGGATAAGTAGCAAGTCTGCTGACCTTGCTTTGTAAAGAGGGGATTTTAACACTCATTGGAATTAATCTGGCAGTGTGAGGCATAAGACAGAGTGTGGATCCCATGTGATACAATTGAGGTTGTCATAAGGACTAGAACCCTCAGGCCAAATTGTGTTACACAAACCCACAGCTTGAGACACACACACACTTATTCTCACACACAGAAAAAACACAAACTCAGAAACACACCCTTAAAATGTTTCTTGTGATTTTTTTATTGTATTTTTTTTTATATGAACCTGTGAACTTAATACATGCATGAATCTAACTCTAAAACAAAGTTTCTTTTTATCATTTTTATAAGTGTTAAAATGATAGCTGTTTTTCCCTTCAAGAACACAATTCCAAATAAAAATGTGACGTGTTCTGGGCATTGTGAAACCCAGTCAAGCCAATTTATTTTTGAAGTGAACTGAAACAGGGTCTGAAGTAATGGACATTTTAATTTTATTAGTTAAAGTGTGAATATGTTCATGCCAAAAAATGTAGTTAATTAAAATTTATAATTGTAAGACAGTTGATCAAAGGATTTAATACAGCCACTTCCTGAAAGAAGCTAGAGTATTAGCTTGGACAACACGGCTGGGTAACATGTTACATATTTCTACCACAATTTCCGCGAAGAAGTGCCTCCTATTCGTGGTTTTAAATACACGTCCACATAGTTTCCACCTGTGTCCTCTGGTTCACGTTTCACTGGGTTGATTTTGTCAATGGCTTTGAAGATTTAGAATAATTGGATCAAGTCCTCCACATGTAGTCTTCTTTGTTCAAGACTTATAAAGGTTCATTTCTTTAAGGTTGTCAGTGTAGGGCATCCAGTTATATTTAGTCTATCTTTGTAACCATTTAATCTATAAATACTATTTGACATTGTATTTGTATGGATGCTTAATTAAAGATGCTATTCTGAAGGCTATATAAGTAATATGCAATAACATAAATCAAATTAAGTAAATTACTGTATTAGTCTTTAAGTAATTTATACCTCAAATGGAGCATAAAACAAGAATACTGTATAATACACTTCAAATTTTACAGATTGAATATTAAATGTATACATTAGAGTTCCAAGACTGATTAATGTAACAGTATTAATACATTGAGAATAATGAATAATGAAAGTACTAATCATGTAATTAACAAATGGAGCAAAATTAACAGTGTTGTCACACCTACAAAAATTAGCACAATTTACAGTACTTAAACTTGTGCAAAATATCCTGCAGAGAAAAGAAGAATTGGAGGCATCAGGTCCATGACTTTCACAGACACAAACATAAAGGTTAGTGTAGAATTTGGAGATAATGCTATATCTTGCACTTGTATATATAGTGTTCTTATAGCTCTCCTTAATGGCTTGTGTTCATATACAGTACATGACTTTAAAGTTACCCATTGGATTGGAAGAAATAAATCTGTTTGCAATGGTTGTCAACACTAAAGAAAGATGAAAAGACCTCTGTGGCACATTCAATAGGCCAGATTGCTGCATTTCTTACCACACTGTGGACTTCAAGCAGTTACGATCCAGCTGCATTCTGCATCCAAGACTTCAGCAGTAACAATGTACACACCTATGGAAAGGCAGATGCTTATTAAAGCTCTGAGACCATTTGATCACTATTGTTTCCCCATTCACCAGCTTAGTATGCTGAACCATCTTCTTTTATTTTTTATTTTTTAGGAAAATGTCTTTAAAGCTACAGTACTTTTAATGGAAAGGAATTAGAATTCATGGAGACAATATAATTTACATCACCTCCTTTTTTAGTTTATAATTTCTTCTGTTTTCGATATTTAGCTGGGAGTCGTCTGGCTATTTTTGATTTTGTTGCGTTTCAAATTTCTGGGGTGCAAATCTGCCTTCTAGGGGAGAGGACCTTCTACAAACTTATCCAGCACACAGTCGCAGGGGAGCTGGAGCCTATCCTGGCAAACAGTGGACGCAAGGCAGGATACACCCTGGATGGGACGCCAGTCATAACATCATCACAGTATTGTTCACTTAGCTGAGTCAATATGAATTTTAATTGGATAAAAAACAAATACTATAAACGCTAAATGGGAATCACTGAGATATTGGAGGCTGTTTATGTTAACACGCCATTTAAACCTTCTAGACAATGTAGGGAAACAAAAGGGCAAAGTGCATTTAAAACTGAGAACAAAGGATTGTGGGAGAATGTTGTTGATGTTGATGGCTTCTTTTAAGAAATGGCTGGATGAGACCCTTGGATCAATTAACTGTGAACTTCCGAAAGGGCTAGGTGGATCAAATGACCTTTTCCTATTTGTAGACTGTCTTTATTTAGCTGTTTTATCTCATCTCAAGGCGTTAGTGATTTTCAGAGACCTATGAAACCTCCTGAGCTGACCAGAGTTTTGCACAGCGGCTGTAAAGCACCACTGTAATGAAAGGAGACCTCGGCTTCTCACAGGCAGGCAGACAGGGAGGACTGGTGCTGGCTGAAAGGCAGTATGCGGATGTACTGCAGTATTTCTCTTCCTGCTATAAAAGAGAAAGTGTTGGTTGCAGGAACACAACCCCTCTGGCAGGCTCTCAGTGGACTTCTGCAGTAATGGAGATTAATCTGAAAAAGTGCTGATGTCAGAGCTGATGGAGTTTACAGAACCCACAGCAAACCTACTGCACAACCTACTGCAAACCACGTTTTCCAGTGTGTATGTAGTGGGGGAGGGGCCATAAGAAAGCTGCTTGTCATTGTTATTGTTATGTCATTGCAAAAAGGATTACGATTAAGCTATTGCATAAACCTGCACATTTCCTAAATAGGATTGCTGATAGAGTTTTGCTGACGTCATTCTGTCAGATTTTGAGGAAAAAAAGCAAATGTAACCCTCCCATCAATGAATTTTCATTTGTACCTCCTCTTATCAACGTAGTACATTTATGTAAAATGTTCTTATGTAACTGTTTTTTGTTACCAGGCAGATGGCTCTATAGCTGGTGCAGCCATACCCAAATGCCTGCTGATGAGTCTTATTGGGGATTTCAATATACAAACTTCTGAGAACTTTAGCACGACAAGCAGACTGAAAATGGTAGGATACTGTATGCTGTACACACTTCTTTAATAGTTGTGCAAGATCTGTAGTTGACCACCTTGACGTAATGATAGATCCCTTCCCGTTTCATTTTAATTCTATGTGTAACGAGACGAAACGTTTGATACATAGAGAGATTGTGCTTCAGCAAATGCATTTTTAGAGTACAGTGATCAATCAGCTCTGGAACCACACACACCACCGACAGGAATATGAACAACACTGTGTTTAATATATAGGGCTATATATTATTTACTAAAACAATATATTATGTCAATTATACAAAACATATCATATAAAAATGTAATAATTTTTTAAAATCATATTAATGTACAAATTTAACTAAACACAAGTATAATAACTTTAGAGAATCTTCATAACAAAAAAAGTAACATTAATAGACTATTTTTTCACCCAAACATAATACAAACTACATTTTACATAAAGAATTCAGCAATGTTGTTTTGTTAGTCTGAAACATGTCAGTCTAGACTGATCTCTTTATAGGAAAGAGAGATTACCTGCTTTTTTAAAGTACTCACCTGTATTTGTAAAAGGCTCTTAATTTTTTGTCATTAATGTGACCTCTTACAGTACATCTTAAAAGCTCATCTCTTTAAATAAGACATACAATTAACAATAACGAAACGTCAACTGGAAAATGTTTTAAGTGCATTTATTTTCCAAAAAAAAGAAATTTTCTAATATTATAATGAGTTTCAAAATTCTTATTGAAGTTATCACCTTTTGATATTTTAAGAATCAATTATGGAAGTTTGATCTCTTGAATTGCAACTTGAGACACAATTTTTCATAACACAGAAAATTAAAAAATGCATATCATTCAGTCCACCAATAAATAAAGAATACATCACACCTAATTAATAAATTTATAATAGGTTAAGTGTACAATCAGAAATCCCTTGTAAGTATCAGTATGGCAACTCTAACTGTTCATAATGTGTATTACTACATATAGTAATAAGAATGATTTCATAGATATAGTAATGTTTGATTTCTGGATATTACAAGTTCTCTTTTAGTTTTTTCAAGGCACATAGGCAATTGAACTCTATCACTTTTAATTGGCTGTTTATGGTTGTTATAAATAGTTTTAACGTCCTAATATGTAGATATTTTTCCTTGCCTCTAACATATAATTAAAAGTTATGTAATACCAACACATCATAAAAACAACGCCTAGAAGAATAAACTGTGTAGAAATATTTACAGATATAGTACAAAGATTTTTTGTAATACTGTTTTAACATCTTTAGTAAATACTATCCCTTACCACTATGTTATCAAGAAATGTCGTATATTTTAATTTTTCGTTATAAATTGACTACAACATACTGTATAAGCAAAGAAAAAACGATGATGTATGTGGGTAACATCTTGCCCGTGCTCATATTAGAACATCGACCTTTCAGATTTTTTATGCCTAAAAATATTTTTATTTTATGTCCTTTAAATGATTTCTACACTGCATTGTAGTCTTATTTAAAAAAAATCGAATAATTGACGGATGGATGGGGGAATGGATGAATAGTGTTAAAACTTTAGGCCAATTCTGTAGATCTTTATATGATTTTGTTTTATAAATCAGTTTCGCCTTAGGCACTTCACAGAAGTCTTGGAGTTTTAAAATTAGCTGCAGTACTTAATGAACGTTTCCCAAAACGTGCGAATGCATGCCTATGACTGTGTTTCTGCGTGGTCAGTGTTAAATAATTGATGTTAATCCTTCCGCGTTGTAGTGTTTATATGAAATGAAATGTGTTTTCACGTGCACCTGATTTAAAAAGATAAAAGCATTCACTGCTGGAACGTTTTTTTCTCTTTCGCAAATTTAATCCTGGGTTTGTGACCTTAATCTCCTGGGGTATACCATAAACTTTTGACCTTCTATTTTAAGCCGTGTTGAGGATAATGGAATATCCTCTCTGGCACGTAACTAGATTGCAATCCCGTGTTGATGTCACAAACACTATTACACAATCTGAAGTCAAAATGGAAGAGCTCTATTCGCGAGTGTCACCGGCTCTCGGGAATACACAATATAAAGGTTTTCGTACTTGCATTGTCAATATTATTAACTTGCACAATTGTACCGGAGCTAAAATGAGTGGTCCCCTAGATTTAAATCAGAATACACTACCTAATACATAGAAAATTCAGAGTTCTGTTTTGTACAGCTGTCTCCGTGCGCGTAGTCTACCGACTCAGCTACTAAATAAAATGTTGCACTACGAGTTTGGAAAGCAGCCAACATTTATCCTCCCAGGGCAGGGTCGACTAGCGGGCAGAGGTGAGATTAAGCACAGGATAGCCTGTTCGCGTTTTTAGAACAAATCAAGTAAGATATTCATTGTGTTTCATCTGTAAATAACCCACCGGCATCACAAATTTCAAAAGGACTTTTGTTCTTAATATACTGTAGGTAACTGGAGGTATTTTGTGGGCATGTATAGTCGTCTTAGCTTTTTTTTAATGTGTTTTTTTTCCAACTCGAAAACTGTCAATTGATCTTGGATAATTGCTGTTGTCGGACTCATCAGGGTCTTTCGAAATAGTTTTGGAAACAGTTCATCGGGATAATCGGAACCTCAGCTAAAACATTTAAAATTAAACTATATTTACCCTACTCTTTATCACTGATGTTGTCTCCCCCTCTCAGAAACAGTCGGTCGTGCGCAAGCACATAAATAATGTATCGAGTTTCGTCTTTAAATCCGGTTTAGGTATTTTTGAAATAAAGACAAACGCCGAGTGTTTATATAAAAAACTGTAATACAAAACATAAAGGATGAGAATAATTAACACAACCTAAACAGAATTAATGGTTTAATATCAATTAGCTTTTTTTTGCTATATATCTAAAAGCGTTTCTGTATCGATATTAACTTCCCTATAAATTCGTGGAAGATTGCAAGATCTTTTTTTGTGCTATTCGTTTTAAGTGGGCTTTAGTAGAAAATAAAGGTTGGCTTTATTTGTTTAAAATGGCGACTTTTGACAGTCGGATTTTAAGACAACATAAATTATACAAAGAAAAAGACATGCGACTTCGCAACCTTTATATACGGCATGTACCGCCGTAAGATTAGAATAGTTACTGAAAAAAAGTTTTACTCATCATAGCCTTCCTATCCTTTAAAACTCTATACCCCATATCCTGTGTTTTTACAGTATACGGCTTCTGCATCTTTGGTAGGCACTAAATCTCTTCCAGGTTTCATTCTCATGAGGAATTTTTCATTTAAAATACAAATGTTTGTCTCTTACCAGACTTAGTAAAAAATACACAGTATTAAAACCTGTTGTAAATACGTAAAATCTGTATACATTTCACCGCTTACTCCAGTTTGAAAGAAGTCACCATGAAACAAAAGTTCAAAATATGCTGTTAAAATATTGCAAAATCCGAAATAATAATAATTAATATATTGTTGTTATTATTATCATCATCATCATCGTCGTCATCATTATTGTTATTATTAGGGTACACCTACAGTATTTGTATTCATATACTGTACGTGCTTACGCACGGAATACCCGTGCGTCTCATTTTTAAATTGAACAATCCCACTTCGTGTGAACGGCTCTTTATTCCAACGATTTCATATATGTATAATGAAATAGAGATGAGGAACTGTATTATGCTTTCTTCTGCTTTGCAGTTTTGTGATAAATGTGTTCTTTTTAATTTGTTAACCTTGCAAATTCTATTTTGCTAAAAGAGTGATCAGATAGTGCCAAGCTGTTCTTTTCTATTTTTGCCTTACATGTATTTTTTGTTTGAGCAACACTCAGAAGTACGTCTTTTTTAATACCCGCGCACTTAGATTAAAAAAACGATTAAATCTTCAGTATGAATTCTAACAGAACATACATTTTCGTCAATCATTCCTAGTTATTAAAGTTATCCATAAATGGCAGGTGCACTAAAATTGGGGAGTGTAAAAAAAATACTCAAAACTAACACTAAATACCCATTTTGTCATACACTTTCCTTCATATGTTATTTGGTCACCAAAAACAAAGGTCCCCGAGGTTAAATTCTCCATCATTACGTTTATTTACAGACATGATGGATAGATTTGCAATAACAAATTTGCAGAATCCAAAATTTAACATAGACCTCCACCAGATAAATAATTTTGAAAACATCGGTTTTGGAGAAGTCTGGCAAGCACCCCTACGCGTATTCTTATCTCATGAAATTACAGTGTCCATATCTCTTTTAGCATTTTAAGCAGCTTCTATACAAGCACGATTTGGATGTTTTCTTTTTACATTCTGTTAATTTCATTTGTTAAACATTCAAGCTAGTATACATAGTACTTTTCCAAATTATCTGAGTTGCAGGCTTTAGTGGCATTTACGTATAACCCGTGTTTAAAACCATTCTTGTCCTTGAAACAGAAAAAAAAAGAGGATTTGGGTAGCTTTCACCCATATATATTAATTCTGGCGAAAACCCTTCCCCCTCCTTGTTCCCGAATTAATACCATAGTCCAAGTTAAGCAGTACAGTACTATTTGTACACAGCGCTGGATAAACAGCAACACGGGCCGCTCGTGCATCAGCTCAGCCCTCAATCAGGGTTCATGCAAAGGGCATCTTGCTCCAGGACAAGAAGCCATCGAGAGGGCACAAGCGTTAGAAACGTCATAGATCCGAGCATTTCCATTGGCCTTTTTCCTGTTTAGCTGATGTGCATATGTGAGACGCATATCACATCTGACACTACAAAACCTCTCGTAAGAGAAGAAACCCCATCTACAGTATGTCATACCGTTGCTTAAAAATCAGCATAACATAAATACAAATGTAATTAACTCAGCATAGACCTTGTGTACGGACGTTTTAATTTTCATTCTTTTGATCAGATCGAAAAACCTTTGTTTTTCTTTGTTGGATAGCCGAAGCAATTAAACAAAGGAAAAGGCTCGGAAATTGGCAACACTAATTCAAGAATTTACATTCAAATACGTAAGGGACCATTAAACTATATGTAAACCGCTCTGACCTAACGTGACCCACATTTCAGCAGAATTCGTGAAAGCTGCAGCTTTCGTATTTGCTTTCTGAAAACCGACCTCTAAATTGATTTCAACAAGGCAATGTCAGTATTTCTGACTGTAGTACACCACAACGAATAAAACGTACCGGAAACAAAGAAATCCCGTTGGTACTTAAATATGTAAAACTACGAGTTCATACGAAAGGTCGGCCTCGATAAAGATTGTGTGGTGGTGCTGCTACCATCAGGATGCAATGCGAAGTCGCATACGCTGAAAAAGTTCCTACGTAAATTTAGCCGTATTTATGCGATCGACTAGAACATTTTCACGTACTGGTGGTAAACAATATAGTTGGTTGAATATTTAAATACTTCCTTTCTGCCCGATTGTCTGATTCGCCAAGACTAAAATATATTGTTTTCGATAAGCATCCGTTAATAAGACCTGCTTACAATTTCATTTTCCACGCGATTCATTTCCTTCCCGCCTTTAAAATTTAAGTTTGCAAACATAAACATGTTAAAATATGTATCCATTACACTAGAAATATTTTCAAAAATAATGAACCTTGAACAAACAAAATATTACCCGACCAAATTAGAAACAGCAAAACGGAATTGCTCCATATTTAGAAAAACAATGTATGTTGTAAATGCACTTACATTATTAGGGAAAAAAAACTTCCTTTTAGCATCTTCCTTATAAAGTAGAGGAAAAAAAAACAGTAAGTGCTTTTCAATTGCAGTGACATTTTCAGCCAGTGCACCCTAGTTATTGCTGTAAGGATTTGCAGGTAAGTACAATATGATCACTAGAGCAATCACATGAAGTAACCAAAGAAGCGATCAAGTTAAATCTTCTAGAAAGAAAGGATTCATCTCATTAAGAGGATATGCAGACTGTGGTGTGAAGCTCGACAATAATGCTGGGATTCTAAGACAATGACTGTGTCTGCCCAGTTGCAGTTAATAGGTCTCACCGCCCTCATCGTCATTGTGGCTGCGCTGGGACCACTATTTTTAAAAAGTGCCAAGGCCCGGCGGGGAGCTGAAGCTTTTTCAATACTGAGACCAGCTGGAAAGACAGAGGTAATACCAAACATCCATACCGGGATAGACATGTGACTGTCAAAGGTCGAAGCAGCCAGCTCCCATTAAGTTTCGGAGCAGGGCATGCTTTCTTTTTCTGACAACTTGCAACCAAGCTTTCCTCTGACTCCGCACAGGGAATTTCAATGGGGGTGCGAGGGCACGTTCATTTCTCCCAAGATCTCCCCCTCCCCTGGCATATAATACAAGGCGGTTATTTACTTAAAGCACAAATTCGTTTTATCTTTCGGTTAAATCGGCTTATTGTTATCCTTTCTTAAATATTCACGTGTGAACAGCGGGCAGCATTTTGGGGAAAAGTGAACAGTATATCCTACTGTACTTCACGAAAAAAAAACGTAAGGCAGCTCTCTCGCACGCGCGAGAGAGGGAAAGCAACAGTTGCACAATTCTTGCAACACATTTACTAAGGTTTGCATACGTTTCCGTTTCCAGTACTCTTTCTTCTGATTAACGTGGGATTTTAAAAAACTTGTATTTATTATTGTTTTAAACCTGATATCCCAGAACCTCATGAAGGAGATAAATGCACAATTGATAATAGATTTCGCTGTCTCCGACAGGCCTTCCTGTGATCCACGGGTCGTTCATTTACATTCACACATTTTTAATTGTTTAACTAATGATGTTAAACAGCTTGCCAAGGGTCTCTGTAGGTCACATGGAGAAGTGCCATTTCTACCTAATTAGCGCTTCTCTTCCAAACCCTTAGCCTCCAGATGCAATCTCTGACGAGCTGGAGGTTGTCAGGTTTAATTGCCTCCAACGGGAATGCCGGGCCAGTCATGTTTTCAAACTTGGCCAGGTGTTTGCTGAATGGAGCATTGCTGGACTCGAATGTTTTTTTAGGGGGTGAGGGGGTCCCTTATTCTTTTTTTTTAATATAATTACTAAATACTCTTCCTTTTGCTGTTTAATCTTAAATCAAGGTCAATAACAGCTTTGCCATATCGGTAATTAATTTGTGGTAGTCGATCAAGGTAGAAATGGCCTTCCTTAGGTTTGATGTCAGTATGAAATAGTTTGGAGGGCAGGATAACCGATCGGGTGTTATCGTACATGACCTGTGTAGGTCGGAAAATTATTGGTATCTCATTATAGGGCAAAGTGGAGCAGAAATAATTTAGTTTACACTGTTTCTGCTGGTAAGTGTAGAAATGGGTTAATTTCGGCCTTAAGGGTACAGGTTTTTTGTTACAGCCTAGTGATTATCATTTGAGAATAAGATTCGTGATTGCTTCCTACAACCTGTATTTATATCACACACTTACGGCCATCAGATAAGAGGGAAAAGTTTTACGAAGTAGTTAAAAAAGGAATGGATTTAAATCCAACTTGGTTGATATCGAATATGTCCAGTTCAGTCCGCTGAAGTAACAAATATCTCTTTTCACGTGTCTCGCACGAAGTCAAACAGGCAAGTAAGGCCACCTGAGTTCGCACACGTGCTGATCGCTGTCAGCCTACAGTTCAGCTCCGGTTGCCACCAGTTCCAGTGATACAAGTATTACGAATTTGGCCCAGAAGGAATTCCTTTTTATAGCAACCAGGATGCTTCCAAAGTTCGAAGATGATACATAAAATAAACTCAACAATCTCTATGTTAGGAATATATTTGATATATATATAAATGATTATTCTTTACATGAATGTCTTTCCAATCTTATAATTTCCTTTTAAATAAAGGACAATACAAATATTCGGGTATTTAAATAGCCTGTTCTCTTAAACCGACGATCTCCCTTTATAACCTGCGGGAAATAGGCGTCACCGCCACAGGCATGTTTCTTAAAAAACTGCACGTTTTAGCCAGTGGAATATGTGGCGATTCTTCAGTTCTGAAACTTTAGGGGAACTTAACATAACTATAACGGTCCTGAATATTTATATTAATTCTGTAATTAAGATCTAGTTAGATCTTAAATCGTAGTGTAAATCTTTCTTTTGATGTTTTTAGAAAGTTTGTGTTACCCTTTTTTACGTAGTTTAGATGAACTACATTTTACCAGCAGCCCTTAAGATAAAATTGAACTATTTTTAATAACCAACATTAGCCTAATTTCTTATCGTTAAACATATAATAACTTTTAGATATCATTTGTTAATCGATAAAAGGTGATCAAGTAGATTCCATTTATTTTATTGATATCTTTTAAACTTTTCACTATTCTTAAAACTAATAGTGTTATTTAAATGGAATGTCTTTTGATTGTGTTTGTATTCTTATCTGACCGAGTACCTCCTCATCACGCCCATGTTAAATGTGTTTCGAAATATTTGGTCTAATTAATGACAGTAAAAACCACCTCGTTAGCACAAAAGCTACCACTGGAAATACAAAACTGAATACCCGACAATTTCACTTCTGAAAGTTTTCGTTACAACTGTCACGAAGCAAGATTTGTGAACAAACGGTACTTTTGTATTCACTCTTCTATTATTATAATTCAGCTTCAGAATAAATAAAAGGTCAAATGGTGATATTAAATGTATCTAGACTATTTTTTAAATTTTCCTTCAAAGGACTTTGTGCTTTTAACTTCTACTGCCCTTGGCCCCAGGGTTCTTACTCATTTCGAACTTGACGGTGGTTATATTTTATTGTTTGTCTGAGCATTTTATTCAGCACTTCAAACTAAAAATGCACATGCATGAAGGTCCCGAAAGGTCAAGAGATATACAGATGTCTTGGTTCCAGATGGTAACTATGAAAGAACTGCGAATAATTAAATGTGAACGCAGAAGTACACAGGTAACTGATCGGATTTTATTTGCATGTTCCTTGCATAAAGCAAACAAACGCTCGACCTGTCCGTGAACTCTCTCTGCAGTTTGGGAGAGTGACTTAAACATGATCCACTGAACTGATTAAGCTGGGTCTTAAGAGTGTACTTTACACAAAACCATTAATCTCTGTATTTTATACAGTATGTAGGTATAGCATTTCCTGAAGTGGTATCGAGATCTGTGAGTAATGTATCTACATACCTCTATGCCTGTATACGTAGTACCATTATCGCCAATGTTATTATAGATAGAATTGAAGGAAAATAATACCTTAGTTTTGTCCTTGAATCATGAAACCTACATGTGCAGTGTCCGCATACTTTAAACTGCATCCGTTTGTTATGTACTGATTCTAATAGAATAGTTAGCTTTCAGCTTTCAGAGATATATGTGAATACAGGTGTTCTTAATTATGCTGCACTAATTATTAGTCTTCAAGCTACATTCTATTCTTACCTATCTGAAGCACGAGTAGCCGAATAAAGATGAATTTGCTCAGGACCTGAACGTTATACACAAGCCTTACTCATCTCACTGGAATTGTACAAAAAGGAAATGGCAATCAAAAGATCATCAATGCGAAAGAATTCCATTGTGGGGTCGTCTGTATCTATCTTTGTATACGGTAACCTCAAGCCTGCTTTTCGTAGTAAAGAAGACAAACATTTGCAGGTTTAACCCTTATAAAAGAAGTGGCCTAGTACGTTATTTCGAAATTATTTTGGGTATTTGTTTTAATTGGTCGACCTTAAAAAATATTTTTTTTAATAATTAAAACAGTAAACAGGACTTGAGTAAGATGTCAGGTAAATCCTATAGTTGTGTAAATGTGTATATTGTAAGGAAGATGGTTTTAAATAGTTTAATATAAAGATTTCATTTAAAGAGGATGAAATACCGTAATTGTCGCCCAATAAGAAAAGTTTTTTTCAATCTAGACAGAAAATGTTAGTTCTTATACAAAAATGAAAAAGTTAAATAATTCAGTGGAAAGAAGAACGAATTTTATTTATTGAAATTGAATCTCTATTGCTTAAAATAATGTTTAAATTATTCTACTGAGGTTACATTTCAAGTACGTTTCGGTTAATTTTAACATAATTAGTACAAAGAGCCATTAATAAGTTTTCACTCATTGGGAAGCTACATTTCGTTTATTATTTATTTTTAAATATTAAATTTGTGAAATTGTGAAAACCTTTTGAGCTAATCAATTGCCAATAATCAACATGAATGTAAATACACAATTTAAGATCGATAAACGGGAATTTGTATCGGCACGAAGAACGTCACTTTGAATAGTGCACAACTACTTCAGTTCCCCTTTATTGTCTAGGATAAATAAAAATAATATGTATTTGAGAGTAGTTCCATGTGTTTTTGCTTAAGTGTGATAATGTGTCGGAAGGCACACGAATGACCGTGTATGATTGTTGTAGTCTTTAATCGCAGTTTGAAAACGCGTAGTGATTTGTGAAGATAAATATTAAGACTTGGGAACACAGATAAATAATTATTAAATGATTATTAAATATATTTGTACAATCTGTCCAAATTAAGGTCGAAATGCGTTAGTGTTAACGAGAAGAACCGCCTTATTAACCTGCGAGAGAAAGTAATCATTTTTACGAAACAATTGTTGCAGATTTGAGTCAAGCTTAGGTTGTTTTAAAACAAAATCTAAGCAGGTAAAAGTACAAATGAAATGTAACTAACGATATTAGCAACAAAATAAAATGACAAAAATGAAGATAGGATTTTAGACGCGTTTTGATTGTTGTTTATGAAACATATGTACAGTATACATTGTACTGTCTGTATTGCTGTATTTCTTCGAAAAAAACATTCATTGATGTTTGTATACAGGCTCAACGCATAAAATATTTCATATATGAAACCCCTAAAGCTAAACGTTCGTATCCTAAACCCCCCTTATCGTCAAGGAGGTGTGTAGATGTGTTTTATTATGTTTATTTGAAAATTAATATG